CGCTCACTGCAAACCCCGTTCCCGCTGCAGCACCCCCGAGGTGGCTCTTCAAACACCCAGCGGCGCGTGTCTGCCGAAAAACTCCGTTACGGGAAGGGACATGAAGGAAGCAGTCGAGTCCTCAACATCACCCAGAGCGCTGGGCTCACGGTTAACTGGTTCCCGTGGAGCAAACGTGGCTTTTACTGGTGCTGCGGCTCCCCGCCCTCGCCGGCCCCGCTCTCCCGGGCCTCCTCATCCCATGGAGCTCGCTGATCCTTTGACCCTTTCTTTCTCATGTGTGGTGTTTCAGAGTATAAAATTATTAATACGCTTCCTGGGAAACTACCAAAATAACATCCAACGTTCATGCTTGGGTGCTGCCTCTAAATGGCAGTGATCTTCTGCCGTCCTTATTTATTATCCTCAGGCAACTGCACCCAAAAGACATATTAGGAAAAAGAAAAAAAAATCAGGTTTCTTCTTTGTATTTCACATTTTAGTCGGGCTATCGCAGTACCAGTAAGTCCGATACCATCCAAGAAATGAGAATCGTCTCGTTTTTGCTTGGCACGGCACAGCAGAGTGGGAGACAGCCACTGCCGGCAGGCGACAGCCAGGGTGTTTCCACCCCGAATTTCTGACTATGTATTTTAACTCTCTAATTTAAAAACCGTTGATTTTGCACCTTTCGGCTTCTTTAAGAATGACTGGGACACGAACTGGGAGGTTTCCCGAACGGGGAACGCCTGGAGGACGAAATGCCGCGAGGGAGGACGGCCAGCGGGACCAGCGGCTGGGCTCCTCGGCATGCTGCCCCGGAACACCCCCATTTGTTTGCCTTTCGTTGAGCTCAAACAGTACGAACACACAGCTCGGTGTCGCTCCTGCCTTGGTCTGAGTGACTTTTTGTATGCAAGCGGCTATTGCAATCCCTCGCCTTTCTCAGATGTTTGTATAAAGTTACGCACGTCAACAAAACAGTCCCCAAAACTTTATTTGTATTTAAAAATACTCTGCTTGGAACAAACTTTGATGCACTTCTCACTCACCCTGTTTCCTCACAGAAAAAAATCAGCAAACCCACATGGA